ATATATAAAATTATATGTAATAAAAAATGAGAAGGGTGCATGAAATAGTTCTTTGGACCATCTGCCCACTGAGTGAACTTATACAGATTATAACACATTTATCAAGCCGACGTCACCTTCAGATTTTTTCAAAGCGCTCCATTGAGGCTGGCTTATGGCATTCCAGTTTGGTAGGAATTAATTTTGAATTTTACCTACTCTTGTCGATTTTAGGACCACCAATTAAGAGATCTTTAACGTGCGCAGCTTGCACACGGGACCTCCGAGTTTTTTCGCTCTCATCTGAGAAGGCCAGGTGTTCTATCTTAATAGGTTTGCTTGGCATTTATTCTTCACTCGGAATGAAAAGCAGCTACACCATTTATTATGAGAGAATTTTGACAATGACGATCTAATTTAGAGCTTTCATTATAGTTTGTTTTACAAACTAGCTTGACTTAATATTATAGCTTTCCGTGCGATAGTCTGACACGCTCGACAGTTTGACCTTGATTTGCCCTAGAGGGGAAATGGCTTTCATCAGACATGCTTTTCTGCCCACTGCGTAGCCCAGAGACAGTAAATACGTGTTTAAATTTATAATCATTTGCATAGCCTCCGTTCTATTTACTTATAACTTTTCTGCACAGGAAAAAATCTCCATAGTATGTTCACAGGCTAAAGAAAGGTATTATTACAAGAAGGGAGGTAATCGGGGCAGAATTTCCCCTCTGTTATCATGCGAGTGACGTATCTTGGACTTGGCTACCCAACCGGATTCCAGATGTAAACAAACGAGAGTCAGCTGTCAGCAGTCCGATCATACACGCAGTCTAGATTTCTATAACAAATGAAATCAAGTCAGTGTTATTTTGATATATTATATATCATATGTCGCAGTCCACGTTCAGAAAATCATCAAGATTTCTATATCTACTTCTTTTGCAAACTATCAATTCCAATTGTATCAGAGGTGGATACTTCATGTTAGTGACTGTGACACCAGTGGTGCTTGTATTAGCTAAGTAAGTCAGCTAAGAAGCTTTAACTTTCCCTACCCTTCTACTGCCTCACTACAACAAGGACCTCCAAGTCCTAGTCAAGGTGTAGTATAGATATCTAGATCTAGGCGAGGTAGGGGTCAGCTCACTGTTATTAAGTTGTGAGTTGTGAAAGCCTCATCTCATTGCACAGTTGACATATTTACTAGTTCAAATTACACGGATGTTGTATCTGCAACAGACTCGTATCTGCAAACTCAACCTATTAGAATTGCCCCAACCCCCGGGGCGGTAGTGCTACTTGATTGATGTGTCTATAGGCCATTCCCAAATGGGGGACATTAACATCTCAAGTTCTTATGCACAGTAGAATTGTAATTGTAAATGGGCTGATTCATCAATGTCATGCTCATACTGAGACTGAACTGCAACACCAGGGAACTGCACTGACTGCTTTTTGGTCTTTCCTTTGTCCTTGCGATCGTCATTTTTGCTCTAGATGGATCTAGATTTTATTTCTTTTGTATGTTTGTCACACTCGTGACCCGCTATTTCTGGGGTGCCTTGATATTCGAGGCAAACTTTGTACTATTGAAACTAGAGAGGTGAGCAAAGTCTGATTCCCTGTAAGGACTTCTCTGTTGACATCCACCCCTTGGCGCTCATATAATGACCTTGCAGTTGCGAGTGCTGTAAAACCTTTACTAAACCAAACAAAAAACAGAATCGCCCCTCGACTGATTGGCAGTTACGTGCGTTTTTTAAAAAGTAGCTTGAGACTTCAGTTCTTACCAGGTAGGACCTGAATTATTCAGTCCGGACAGCATATAAAAATAAGTGGCTTGAAATGCCCTTTTTAAAAAGATTTTATTTTTAATTGTTAATCTTTAACTCTATTGGTACACCCATGGGTCATTTTGTACCCCCGGGGTTGTATTCTACATTATTTTAGAATACTTCTAGTCCAAAGATCTCTCTTTGAAACTTTCTGTATTTCTCAAAAAATCATTTTAAATGCTATGCAAAGCGTAGGCCTACGGATCGGATTAACGAGTAAATTTCCTCTTTTAAAGTGGTGGCGCAGAGTTCCCCATGTCGTATGGATACGATAGTAAAACACGACGTACGGATCATAGGGTAGAAAAATTTCCTCACGAAACCTCTGAAATTGTTCATGCTTATCCAACAATTTAAGGTGCCTCGCAAACCTAGCTTGGATCTAGGGAATGTAGTGAACACAATGAAAAACCCTGCTCTGATGGCGACGGGGATCACACTTTGTACCCCTGTCTCTTTATTGAATAAAACAGTGTACCTGATAGGAGTTACTTGGAACATATACACTTATTTATTTTAAATGGTAAAGACTTTGGTAAAGTGTATGTATGTAGTGAGAAATGATACATATTTATGAACTTTTACTTTTTATCACTCTTACAATAGATGGGTGTAAAATTTTTGTGACTCCTTTCATAAAGAAACCCAAAACTTGATTAATATAAAAAAATGAATTTATACATTGTTGATGTGGTAATAATTAGTTAATCTTCAAAATAATAATTAAATGGAGTCTGCTAATATTTTCAAATAAAATACACTCAAACCTGTGTAAAACGGCCACCCAATGCCAACGAGAAAAGTAGCCGTATAACACAGGTGTGGCCATCTTAGGCAGGACTGATCAGAATGAAGAAAGCAAACCATTTCCTTCTGACGTCAAAACCAGGGCTGATATTTGGCTAAAGACTGCCGTAAGGTGAAAACAAAATGATTTTGTTTTCTTTTGAAAAGAAAAAAGGAGGGGGGGGGGGGAGGCAGTGTAAGAAGGGTTTTTGGTTGTTTTTTTGTTGTAGATTTTTGTGCCAGGGTAAAATAAATTTTTAAATAATATGTGTACTGAGATGAAGACTGAGTTGCATGGTTCAAACAAACACACAGGTTGCCACCACTCGGTGAACGAGGGACGCTTCTGTCGCAAGTTCACGTTAACGTCCTTTGTTACTTTGTTACAGATAAGGTCAACAAAACTGTGACCTGTCACCTCACATACGAATGTGTGTGTATGAGTTGTGGATGGGGCTTTTATAGGTTATGATGTATCTCATCAGTGTACAAGGCAAGAGGAAGACCAAGAAAAACCTGGATCCAGGGTGTGAAGGATACCCTAAGAACATACAATATCCCACCCAGCCCGGCCATCAAACTTGCTAGAGACAGAAAGTTTCTTCCGTCAACGCCCTAGAGGTACAAGAGGACGGATAAAGTAAAGTAAGTAAGATGTATCACATGCTTCCCTCACCAGCAGTTGAAAATTTATTGTTACACATTGGTCAACTTGGGTAAACATTCTTTGGAGGGACTAGCAATAACGACGGGTGAATGGATTATGACGGTCTGTCCACAGCGTGAGGTACCGATTCAAAATTTACGACAAAGTGTCAGGTGATGCAAGATCGCGCTTGGCCATCTCAGGCAGGTAAAATTGAATGTAGGGTTATAAAATAAGGTAGCTTTGGTCGCGTTGGACAGGTGCCCAGTTTACGCAGTTAAATTATATATATAGAAAAGACGCAAGGGGGGAAATGGAAAGTGGCCGTTTGTACAGATGGCCGTATTGTACAGGTGGCCTTCGTGGTAGGTTCGATTGTATATACCGGTATGTTTTCAAAAGTTTCCCTTGAGGCTTTGTGACTGATATCTCACAATGTAGCCTGTCTGACTTATGGTTGTCATGTTATTTCTCAACTTTAGAGATTTTCACAATAAATAAATTGTGAAAACCACAATATAGACTAACACTTTGCTTCCTCTTCTGTCCATTCAGCTACAGTGATCTGGTAGGTACAGTAAGTGGACATGGCCCAGTTTTGGACTAAAGCCGCTTCTCTTGCTGAACTCGTAGGTCGTAGCAGAGGTTACATCCACAAGTTTGTGGACAGCCACTGCCATATAGACCTCCTGTACTCCAGACTAAAGCTGGGGAAAGATCACAGCTATTCAAGTTTTCTGACAGAGCAAACTGAATCCTTTCCTGCCAACTATGAAGGATGTGTGGCTGTCTTTTGTTATCCAAAAACATTCTCAGCAAATGGTGAGTCTCACTTTTTTGACCATGTATTGGATAGTTTTAAGTTTCCCCTAATCTTTTAGCTGGGTTATGGTAACGGAAGGGTTCTTGGACCGCTTTGTAAAACATTTTTTAAAAGAAAGACGAACTGTAATGAGACTGCTAGGACTTTGGTGTGAGGACCTTTTTTTTTTTTATAGGTCGCAAAATTGGCATTGCTGTGCTTTCAAAGTTGTCTCTTCTTTGCAGCGGTCTGCTTTTCTTTGTCTAAACTGCTTTCATTTTGTGGTGCCGGTAGACTAGTGGTTTGGCTACCAGACCCTCAATGATGAGATTGCAGATTAGGGGGTTCAAGGCTCAGCTCAGTCCGATGTTGTGTCCGTGGAAAAGGCACTTTTCACTTTTTAAAAATTCAATTTGATCTGGCCTTGTATATTGGCTGTCTTATATAACAGTTGTCGGGGGTGTTAAACTGCTCCATTTTAAGTTTTGCACCTTTTTTTGCTTTTACTTTTACAGGTTTCGTCTCAGTTTCTCCCCAATCTATGGGCATTTTAAAGATAGAAATAGGGAATGTTGGATTATGGTTTTCAGATATTTCTTTCTAAAAGGTGATGAAGTGCAGTGCTTATAGAATGAATGGATAGGTTAAGTGCACTTGTCAGCGATTGCCATCTGCTCTTCTTATTTCAGTCGTACGATGAGAAAAAATGTTAGTTGATAAAGATAGTGTGTTATTTCCTGCTCTTTGGATCTCTTTTTTCCCTTTGTGTTTTCTTTAGTAAACGTACTGTTTGTTTTCGCATTCATACCTAATAAGTGGCCTTTTCTTTTCATGATGTTTAATAGAATGCTTATTAATGTTTCATATCCCTGCTTAAAAGTAGGATCAATGTGTTTTTACAACCCTGTAATGTATTATTTCCTCGACATATCATTCGAAAACATTCTCAGCCTCCTGGGTAGCATTATTACAAGTTTTGTTTTATAGGCACCTGTGCACATACTAGATAAGTCGGGTGCTTATTATTTTCAGTGTGAAGTGAAGGACATTTGTAGAGACTTTCTTTTTCAAGTATATCATGTTGTTGTGCCCGGATCAGTATTAATAATAATGATAAGGATAGCATTCGTTTGGGGGTAAATTCCTGCTCAACAACAAGCTGTATGTGCTTTACAGTCTACACATATTACCCCTGCAGACTTAATATTCAATCCCGTAACTTTATGGTTGATCCCTTTGCTCTTTTTTAGTGTGAGTGTGGTTTATAACAATATTTTTTCAAATTCCTAACAGAACCAGATAATATCACTCTTCGAATGGCAGGCAGCACAGACAATGTCTGGCTAGCCATCGGTTGCCACCCAAAGAGTGCAACTGAATTTACTGATGAGCACCTACAAGGTCTACGCTCTGCACTACAGCATCCCAAAGTTGTGGCGCTCGGTGAGATCGGACTCGACTACTCCGGAACGTGAGTACAGTGACCGCCATGTTCTTTTTGTGACAACAGCAAAGCAAACAGCTGGCTGATTTGTATGGAGTTTATCTCTACATGGAAAGGTTGTTCTGAAGGTGGAATGTAAGATTAAACTACCACTGTCTTTTGGGCTGAGGTAATTGGGCAAGGAGTCGTGATCACTCCTAAATACGACTTGAACACAATAAATATTAAGTACCCTAGGGGCCTTGTACAATTTACTTGAATTCAATATATGCACTCCTTGGGCTCCCTAATTACAGCTTAAACTCAAAACGCGGGTGCTCTGGTGTGGTTTGCTCCTTCTTTCCTATTAAACATCTATCGTCCTTATCTTCCCTTCTTCTTTTTTATGTTTGTTACTCTCTTGTAACACCTAATTCCCTGGTGCTCATATGACCTTATGCAGTTGCGAGCGCCGTAAAACCCTCTACTAAAAAAAAAAAAAAATTCAAAACATGTACTCTATGGAGCTTCAGATCAAGATCTTCTACCCTACAATCCAGCAAAATAGCAAATGAACTAGCATTATGCTTGTCTGTCTGTAAAAGCAGAAAAGCAATTGTGATACGGAAATAAAAACTACTTGGACATTGCAACCTTCTCAGCCCGGGTCGGTCCTTTCAGGCAGGGTCGAAATATGTCTCTCAAATGATCAAAATTGTGTCAGTGGACGTATAAAACACCTAGATCTTCATTTACTCCCCTCTCCCCCCAGAAAAACTTTCTTTTGTGTGGAATGTAGAACATTTTCTTTGACTGCTGCCTGTTGGTAGGCTCGCTGATGTAGTCCTCTACACTTTTATTACTTTTTTTTGGTATTGTCCTAATCTGCCTTTGTGGATGAGTGGTTGATGGGTGCTCTGGTACAGTTTGCTCCTTTCCAGTCAAACATCTATAATTCTTATCAAAATAATTTCTCCACCTTCTTTTCTTTGTATGTTGTTCTCTTGTTACACCTCAAATCTTCGCCACTTTGAAAAACCTAATTGAAATTGTTTTACAAGACAAGTGGCATGAAATATAAATTAAAACTAAAACTATGATCTGCCTCCTAGCCAAAATGCAGGTGTTCAAACACTAGCTGAACTCATGAAGTGTAGCTCAACATCCACACTGGCAGTGGGTGGTTGGCGGGTGCTCTGGTGTGGTTTGCTCCTACTTTCCTATAAAATTCCTTCTTTTTTTGGTGTGTATGTTACTCTCTTGTAACACCTCTAATCTTCGGCACTTATATGACCTTATTGTGTTGCAAGTGCTGTAAACACTTTCTAAAAAAACACCGCCAGATTGACAAAACAAATCTGTGTGAATTATTTTCTCAGATCCTCAGGTTTTCTCAACATGCCGAGACCCAAAAGAAAGTCATGAGGTCCCAGATTTCTCTAGCTCTAGAACTCAAGCTGCCCCTGGTCATTCACTGCCGTGATGCTGACGATGACTGTCTCGTCATTCTGAAGGAGGTCGGTGTGGGTCGTTGGCGGGTGATCTTCTGGTGTTGTTTGCTCCTTCTTTCTTATCAAACATCTATCGTCCTTATCTCCCCTCTTTTTTTATGTTTGTTACTCTCTTGTAACACCTCTAATCTTTGGCACTTACATGACCTTATTCTGTTGCAAGTGCCGTAAAACTTTTAATAAAACTAAGGAGTTCTGTTGTTAATGTTGTGTGTCTTCCTGAGTTTGTGTTGAACGCATGTCTTTGTACTTGAATTTGTCAAGCTCATTTTTGGGATGAGAATGAGGTCTGACGTTTCCTCCATAACTTGAAATTTGTATGAAAGTAGAAACAGTTTCACATGGTGGGTGATTGCTTCTTACTAGCACTGAATGACCATAATTAATAATGTGCTTGTCAAAGCTGTTCTCTTTACCTTAAATGTGAATATGATCTCTTTAAAAATAAAAATAAGCAAAATACAGTGCTATTCAGATGGTGTTACAGTTAACTGCCTCTCGTTGACTAATGTATTGTTTTATGTGGTCTTATTGAAGAGTAGCTGTGGTCAAATCACTTGCTGTGAACTACTTACTTAGTGGCAACATCTTTTATTTGAACCTGTTGCAGGCTCTATGTAGTTGATTCCAGCTAGCAGGAAACTACCTCTCAACTGTTGAACACTTGCATGTGTCCTGATATAGGTGAAACATGGTGGTTTTTGTGTGCTAAATTTGAACTCAATGATAGCTAATATTGGTCTGAATCTTATACAGTGTCATCATAATATACAAAAACCGCAAGGGGAAATGGGTAATGGTGGTTTGTTCAGGTGGTTGTCTAATACATGTGGCCGTATGAGCAGCCGGTTTGACTGTACTGCTCTTTAACAACATTGTCAATTTTTGGGCATGTGGAAATGTTTTCTTAAAGTGTGTTCTATTGTCTTGCTGTAGATGTAAAAAGTACCTCTATTTATCTTAAATAAAAATCGAGATATTTATTATTTTAAGAGAAGGTGGGGGTGGTCTGGTTTCAGATGTAAATTTGCGAGAAAATGGTCGCCGAAGTATGACGACTTCCATAGCTTTGGAATCCTTGGAAACTGAAAATTTACCTTTTTTGTGCCTTTAATCAACGTGTTTCAGTAAAATCTACACAGAAATGTGTTTTTAAATGGACAGTAAAGATGTAGGATTAAAGAAAAAATGGATAAAAATTGCCACACCAGCAGAAAAGTGCTATTTTCTGAGATTTCATTATTATGACGAGTGCCTGATGCCACCACGATGCCTCACAAATCTTATCCTGCAGCAGGTTCTCTGCTACAGATCTCCGCTCAAGAAACAACCATGTTTGTCCCCAGATGGTCCCCCATGAGTGGCCCATTCACCGACACTGCTTCACCCAGGACGTAGTCACAGCCCACGAGTGGCTCAGTGCGTTCCCCCGCCTCTATCTGGGCTTCACTCCTCTCATCACCCGCAAAACTGACGCTGTCGGCGCGGTGAAGAAAGCGGCCGCTGATGTGCCGCTGGATCGAGTTCTCTTGGAGACGGATGCACCGTACTTTGTGCCGGAGGGTGTGAAGGTGAGAGGTCAGATGATGAGAGGGTGCCATAGGTAGCTTCTACTTCTTTAGTTCACCTCATCAATTGTGTCTGTCTTTTTTCCTTTTTTCGATACGAAATGATCATTATTGTGTTTAGATTATGCCTCTCTTAACTCTCATGTTTGAGGTTCATTATTGGTGAATGTGTTGTGATTGGTTGGTGAGCTCCCAACTGTTGTGTGCTCTGTTCCTTCTTCTTTTCCCCTGCATTTCCTTTGTCTTGATGGAATGCTGTTGGTATCGGCTAGGAGTGTGGAGTGATGTGATACTTGTTCTTTTTGTCGGCATTTCTTCGTTCTCTTTCTTGTTTTGTTTCTTTGAGTAAAGCGAAGAGCATTAAGATAACTATGGTTATTTAGGGCATGGAAGAAGTAAGACAGGCAGAGAGAAACAAACCCCGCGGAGCAGTGCCACTGACTGAAGTGTCTTTAGGCCATTCCCAAGGGGGGGACATTTCTCGTTCAAGCATAGTAGAATTGTAAATGGGCTGACTCATGTCACGCTCATAACTGTGCCTGATCTACAACAGGGAACTGTTGCTTTTTCTTTCCTGATCTGATCCTTACTCTTGTCATTTTCCTCTACTTCTTTTTGTATGTTTGTCACTTCCTTGTGACCTGCTATTTTGGGGTGCCTTGATAGTCGAAGCAGACCTTGTGCTGTTGAAGCTTGAGAGGTGAGCAGTCTAAGTTTGGTTCCTTGTAAAGACTTCTCTGTTGACACCCACCCCTTGGGGCTCATATGACCTTATGCAGTTGCGAGCGCCGTAAAACCCTCTACTATAATAATAATAATAATAATAATAAATAGAGAGAAACAACAGGGGGGAAGTATAGAAGAACATACCAGATGCACCCTCCAACCACCTGCTGTGTCAATCTATTCCTGACGGAATGTGACCATTCTCATTCCACCTCATCATATCCGCATACCATAGTTCAACTTGTAGGCCTATTTTCAAACTGAGCATGGTACTGTATATTATTGTTTTCTTCAAATGGATGCACTCATGACTCTGCTCTCTCTCTCCCTTTTTAACTCCCAGTGGAGCACAGGCCATCAACAGCATTACCCCAACGAAGCCTGTCCTGAGCATCCTTTTCTATCTGTTTCCATGATGTCCCCGCCTTTTCCATTCCCGCATACCACTCGCCTCCTTGTCATCTTTGGTCTTCTGGTCGACAGGAGGTTTCTCGGCTTGGTGGCTTCCTTTCGGCTTTCACCACCCTGCGTCATTCTACTCTCCATATTCTCTCCTCTCCTCTGTGATGAAGGTCCTCCATCTTCTAGAACTGACAGTCGTGTTGGTTTATCTGTTGATGTTTTTGTAGCTGCTTTTTGTTTTACGGGAAAGGGCTGCTAACCCTTTGCCCAACCGACCTTAGTCGCCTTCTACGACATACGCGGTACGGATACAGTGGTTCTATTCTTTGCTTCCCTGTCTCTTGGACAGGGCCCCCAGAACCACACGGGTGAACATGACTCTGCAGTCTGTTGAAATTGCAAATGGTATAATATTGTCTTATGTTTTATTCAAAAGAAAACTCCTGTGGTCATCTAATTTTATATCTGTCTTACAAAGTCCGTGTCTAGGGAGATATTCAGCTCTGCTTTCTGTTAGGCACTTGCGCCATTATCTGTGTAAACTGATTTAAGTTCCTTTAAGTTGGGGATTAGTAATGTTTTTCTGTTTTTATATGTCGTGGCATTCATATCTCAACCAGTGGGCACTCCAGGGTCTTTTGCACTTTCTACTTCTCTTATTAGTGGTACCGAAGACTATTCTGATTTTTGTTGTCAGTAATATGATTAAGATTGTCTAGTGCCTAGAGCATGCTGTTAGCAAGGATATGAGCTATACAAATGCTATTTGTTATCGTAATATTGCTTTGCCTAGGACTCTATAACAGTAACTAATGAGAGAGAGGGATCCATTGTGGATGATGACGATGTTAAGTTTTTTTTCTTAATCTTATATTCTCCCCATCTTTTTCATCCACAGAATGGGGTAAAGGTGACTCACCCAGGCTTTGCTCTCTTCACAGCTGAGTGCTTGGCTCAACTTAAGGATATTTCAGTTGACGCTGTCTTGGAAGCCTGCCGTAGAAACACCCAGGACATGTATGGAGTGTGACCTAGGCCTGTAGTCTTTATGAACCCTCTAAGTTAAGTGTTGCTTACAAAAAGCGTGTGGTGTGAAGGAAAGTTGTATTATTTTTGCATATTATGTTTATTATGCGAAAAAGTGCAACAATTAGGATAAAGGTTTCTGTTTTGTCTTGCGACGAGTTACATGGACATTGACGTTGATGATTTAGTTGTTTGAGGCTCTAAGTAGAGCCTGTTCAACTATCTGGTAATCAGGCGCGGTTTGTCCATAGAGCACGGTCGTGCAGTGCCGCCCAAAATGTTTTAATGTTCTATGACGTAAAGCACCCACAATAATAAAATAAAAGACGACAGAAACGAACACTAGCCATATATTATATCAGAACAAGGCCCTCGCTGGCGCCGTAACTGTCATTTCTATTCTATAGCGCCGTAAAACATATACTATGCCATGTCTAAGTTCATGCGCTGTATCTAAACATAACAGGATAGTCAACAGTGGAAACCTGACCTATAAATCGCTCTTAGAGATAACCCAAGCGATGACGGCACTTGTAGAGAGTTTGGTGGTACATTAATATTAATAAGACGGCACATCTCAAATGTGCTCCAGCCGAATATCGCCGAAACATAGCCCACAGTAGGCAATCTAAAAATAAACGCCATAGACTGTGCACTATTCCATGCCAAAATTATGTGGGCCCCGGAGCAATCCAACGGAGTGCTCAAGTGAATTGTGATTGGTTCATTGTCTTTTATCGCTATTTTAAGTGACTCTGTGACCGTGAACCTGTGAGAGGTGAACGTGACATACTTAAATCACCGTCCTATGAGTTGTGCCTTTGAACGGTTTTGTAGTGGACGGGTGAAAGGTATTACTTGAGTGTTCAGTTCTAATGCAGGATGAATGAAATTGACGTTCAGCTAACAAACAGATTTAATTCTAGAAGTCAAAGCCACAAGTAAAAAGAATGAAAATAAAAGCACACGGTCTTCCTTCACCAACCCAAAGATCCTAAAATTATACACCATCCCATTCACTCTGCCCTTGATTATCTTCAGCCTAAGATAGCTTAATTGTGCACGCCCACTCTTTAGACCCACGAGCCGCCCCTGCTGGTAATGAATGACTATGCATTGCGTGCAGGCTAGACAAATCAGGTTTGGCAAGTTGGGTTGTAAATAGTTGGGAGATCTTTCCAGTATTTGTCCAGACGTCTCTTAAATGTGTCCTCGTTTGGAGCTGACACCACTGATTCGGGGAGATTGTTCCAAATAGTATTAACCCTATTCTCAAAAATATTTGCCCTCACACAATCTGCTTCTTTGCTTCTGGAGCTTCTCTGAGTTGCCACGGAGTTGTGTGGTTGTTGCCTCTGTAAACGCTGGTCTTTCGGTGATGTAGTAGCCTTTGATATACTTATACGTTTCTATCATATCACCACGTAACCTACGATGTTCCAGGGATGGAAGCTTTAGTTTTTTCAGCCTTTCAGAATAAGGCTTTTCTTTGAGGGGACTCAGCATTTTGGTAGCCCGCCTTTGAACTTGTTCGATTTCACTATATAGTCCTTTTTCAAAGGGTTGCCAAACACAGTGTGCATACTCTAATAAAGGGCTCACTAAACTCTTGTAGAGCAAAACAAAAATACCCTCAGAAAGGTAGTCAAATGATCGCCTAATAAGTCCAACAATACGGTTCGCTTTTGATGTTATCTGGGCTACTTGCTCCTTGAAGGTTAGTTTATTATCGACCACAACTCTAAAGTCTTTCTCTCTCTTTGTTACATTCAGTTTGTGTCTTGAGGTGCCACCATCCACTGCTTGGTCCATAAAGTATTCGTTATCATTGTCTTTGCCAACTTTTAGGACACAACACTTTTGCGGGTGTAAACGAAGCAACCATCGATCCTTGAGACCATTCTTGAAGGGTATCCAAATCATCCTGTAAATCTTGCGGTCCATTCACGGTGTCACTTCTAACGTAGAGCTTTGTGTCATCAGCGAACATTTTGGCCGTCGTTTTAAGTCCTCTGGGAAGATCGTTGATGTAAATTACAAACAAAAGGGGGCCTAGAACTGATCCTTGCGGGATTCCACTTGTAACTTCAGCTTCCTCTGACCGTGATCTATTTATAACAACCCATTGTTTTCTGCTGTCCAAAAAGTCCTTAACCCACGTGAGTACCTTCCCTTTACACCGCATGCTGAGAGCTTCTGTATAAGTTGCCTATGGGGAACGGAGTCAAAGGCTTTCTGATAGTCCATATAAATGACATCCACTGACCCTCCTTCATCCATAACATTCGTCCAGTCATCTAAAGCTTCCAATAATTGTGTTCTACATGAACGTCCAGTGACAAATCCGTGTTGGTCTTTAGAAATCAATATGTTGTTTACAATATTGTACATGATGTGTCGTCTTACGAGCTTTTCCATAACTTTGCAGATGACACATGTTAGGCTCACAGGTCACTAATTGTTAACTGCCGCCTTGTTACCTTTTCTTGAATATTGGTGACACAAATGTTGTTTTCCATCCCACTGGTAATACTCCATCAGTTAGTGTCCTCCTAAAGAGAATTCTTAGAGGTAGTGCAAGTTTTTTTTACTTGATTGCGCATCGGACACATGGCCCTGACCCACAAATACCTCCTTACAGGGAGATGAGAAGCCGTTCTGTATCGGATGCGACTCAGATTTTACCATTAGACACATCTTAACCGAATGTCTAGACTTTGGAGAGATCCGAGGGAAATATTATAAATATGCAAGAAATTGCAAGACATTTTTTCCGTCGTTGGTCCCAGCAAAATTTTGAATTTTATGAAGGCCATTGGCCTTTATGGCAAATTGTAAAGTAAAATTGTACTATTTAAAATTTTTGTGTTAACTAGAAAAATTGTTTTAGATTGAAAATATATGTATATTTACACTGATTTTTAAACATTTTAAGATTTAACTACTGACCCGAGCCAGCCGTACAGCGAACTGTTGTGAACAAAACTAACTTGTGTTTCGCACGCTCATATGACCTTATGCAGTTGCGAGCGCCGTAAAACCCTATACTAAACTAAACTCATAGAGAAGTAGTGCAAGTATGTCAGCTGCCTGGGATAATACTCTGGGAGGGATGCCATCTGGTCCCGTCGCCTTGTTGACATCAAGACTAACCAAAAGTTCTTTAACTGTCACCGTTTCAATATTGAAGTCTTGAAGTTCTGTGTTGTAGTCATACTCTTCAAAGTCGGGGAGTGGTCCTGGGTTCTCATTCGTAAAATTGGCGCTTAAATGACCAAAATTGTGTCGATAGTGCCGTAAAACATCTACCCAATCATTTGTAAAAAATTGTGTCGATAGTGCCGTAAAACATCTACCCAATCATTTGTAAAAATACTCTGAAAGAGTTTATTTAGCAGTTCTGCTTTCTCTGTATCTGACTTTGTCTTTGTCCCATCGTCCTTGTTTAGGTCTGCGATACCGATCTTACTCTTCATCTTTGAGTTGGCGTAACTGTAAAATACCCTGGGGTTCTTCTTTGCCTCAATAGCCAATTTCTTTTCATAATTCCTGTTTGCCTTCCGACATGCTTTCCTAGCCTTGTTGTTGGCCTTATTGTATGCTATTTCATCCTTTGCCTTTCCTGTCCCATTCCATTTTCTGTATTCCCGATGTTTCTTCCTCACTGCCTCTAATGTGTCTTTATCCGGGTATCTTTTATTTTTCTTCCCTGAAATATTCATCAGCGGTGTTGAAGCCCCAATGGTACCCTCAATTTTGCTCTTGATGACAGACCAAGTGTCTTGAACGTTCTTGTTAGCAAGCTCACTCTCCCAGTCATATGCGAGATTGCGGGTTCGGGGGTTCGAGCCTTAGCTCGGTCCAACGTTGTGTCCTTGGGAAAGATACTTTACCCAAACTTCCCACTTAGCTCGGTCCTATCATCGGAGACGGACGTTTAACTAGGAGGTCCCGCCCCTTAAATAACCTAATAGTGTTGATAGGGGCGTTAAACCCCTACCATTTCACCATTTTTTTCACCAGTCATATGCTCCAAGGTCCTCCCTCAGTTTCTCAACATCTTTTTCTAAAGTTTCTCCTAGTTACCTTGGGTGCAGTACCTGCTGATAATGACAAAGTCATAAGCAGACAAAGATGATCACTTTTACCTATACCAGCTTCAACTTTGATGTCTGTAACCAGCTGTTCAGTATTTGTAATGACTAGATCTAGAATGTTAGGAGTCTCACCTTTTCTATATCTTGTGGGAGTCTTTTGGTGCTGTATGAAGAATGCGTCTTTTGTAGCCTTGAGGAATTGAGTAGCAAAGTGTTTTTCACCAGCGTTGCTAGTTTCAGTTTCCCAATCAATTTGTCTGAAATTAAAGTCACCCATTATGATTTTGTGAGTCTCTTTTCTCAGTGACACTAATTCAAAGAGCTTGTTCAGCTTCCATGCATCTTCTTTAGCTGTAGGGCTGTGTTGACTTCTATAAATCAGTCCGATGAGTAATGAAACACCATCCTTAAGAACACATTTTACAAAACGTTTTTCACAAAAGTCATTGTCCAAGTCATCACACAGCCCTGGTTTCAGTGCTTTTCTCATATACAACACTAGTCCTAGACCTTCTTCTTCCAGGTTGTGAAATAATTCTTAGTCATAGCCATCCAAAGATAACTCACTCTCTTGAATTTTGGACCTTACATTTTTGGGCTTTACTTCCGTTACAGCAATTATATCAGGCTGATAAATCTCCACCTTAGACTTCAACTCATTTCTTTTGTTCAACAATTGATCTGCATTTGTATACCAGCAAGTACAATTCTCTAAAGTATGTGCATTCCAACTGGAAGGAAATGTAGGTGAAAAAGAAGAAAATGAAGTGAAACTTTTATTCTGTACAGAAATAGATGAACAATAATTAAAATATGAAAAAGGCGAACAATGGCCCAAACTATTTACATTCTTTGCTGTCTGTGGCTTTATTCTCGTATTGTCTCCCTCTCTTTCTGACGTTCTGTTGGGTATTTCCCTATGTTCCGAATTTTGCCGTCTCTCCTCACCCAGTGAGCGAAATTTTCCCCCAAGTTTTGTTACCTCTCTTTCTTAGCCTTTAACTCCTGGTAGAGGGCATAGTCCTCCTCTCTCTCCTGCTTTGTCATATCTTTTCGCGCCCCAATAGTCAAGTATAACTTGTCCTCTTCTCCTTCATTTTTGTCCTTTGCTGCATCTTTTCTTGCTTCAATAAATTTCCTCATCATATCAGCACTTGCTTCTTCAGTTTCAAATTTCAGTAGTGTAGGTCTTGGCTTTTTCTCGCTTGCCCGGTC